TGGATATTAGGAAATGTGGATTCTCCCAGCAGCACTGTGCTGTGAATGGTGGGGTCACCAACCCTGGGGTGTCTCAGAACTGCAGAGGTGCAGCACTGAGGGATGTGGTTATGGGCGCTGTGGGATGTGTTGGGGTTGGGCTTGGGAACTGTAGGAGTCTTTTCCAACCTGAATGATTGGGTGATTCTGAGATTCCTTGAGAAAATGGGGCAGTGTCGTGCCCAGCCAACACAGCTGGGCAGTGTGGACAAACCCATCATTGGGTCCAAATAACAGAGAAGTCTCACTGTGGTGGCACAGGACATGGCACCTGTGGCTGGGTTGGGATGCAGGACGCAGCAGGGGATTTATATTGAGTGAGCTGCAGGGCAGTAATGGAGCTGAGAGAGCCAGCAAGCTCTGAGGGGAGACCTGGGTACAGTGTGAGGTCAGCAAGCATCATCCTGGCATCTTGCTCTGCTGCAACGAGCTCCAGAAGCTGTAAGACTGCAGCTGGGCAGGGGAGGGATCACTGATGTATCAGCAAGACAAGGCCAGCAGCAGGTCCCCAGTGTGCCTTGGGAGCAGCGCGTGGAGCAGGGCTCAGGATCACCACCCAGCAATCAGGTTTCTCTTATCTGCAGCTCTCTCCTTGCAGGTAGCAGCTCCATCTGTGCTCAGCGAGCGGTGCCTTGCTAGCACGGCACTTTGGGAGATGCCCTTGGGTGCAGTTTTGTTCCAGGTGGAAATGCCAGGGGAGGTTGTGCAGCCTTTCATCTCTGCAGGGCTCTGCCCTTTCTCACCACGCAGCTCCGCCGCACGCAGAATGCAAACAGACAATCCCTGCACGGAGCGTGACACGAATTCATTCCAGGCTGAGCAGGGTTTTCTTTTTTTTTTTTCCTTGTTTTTCCTTTTCCCAGTGCTGCGTGCAGGAGTTTGGAAGTGGGGAATCGGCTGCTGAGCTCACAGCTCTTGGGGTGGGCAGGCAGGGTGGGCAGGGGTCCATCCTCTGCCCGTGTGCCATCAGTGCTGGTGGGAGCCAGGCGCGTGCACAGGGAGGTGAGGATGCCCCTGAGCTGCAAATCTCGTTGGCAATTTTATTATGTAAATAAATGGTGCTTGCACATCCACCTGCTGCTGCTGCTCGTGCTGGTGAGCGTGGCGAGGTACGCAAACAAACAGCGATTCTGCTCCAGTGGATTTATTTCCTTTCTTGTGAGCCATTAAATCTCCTCCAGGTTTTGTGCCGGTACCGATCTGCAGCAGCCTCACAGCCCAGCTTTGCCTCAATGGTCTGCAAAGGGTGACAGTCACCCATCATCCCCCATTGTTGTGAGCACCCTGCCCCACATATGGGGGCACTTTAGGACGTCTGTCTTTGCTGCAGACTCCCACCATCCCCATACCTGATCCCGTTGGCAGCTCAGGCAGCAGCAAACCCCCCCAGTGCTGGGCTGGGTGAAGGCAAAACCCTCATCTGGGAAATAGGGGAGTCCTCACCCTGACCTCAGGGAGCAGAGCGCTGAGCCCCGGGGGGTGAAACTCTGCCTGTGGAGGGGGTCTGGGCTGCAGGTTGGGCTGCAGAACCCGCTCCCTTTGGAGGGGCTTTTGCACTTCACCCAAGCAAACCAGAGCCCTGGGAGATGCTGTGGAGGGAGATGATTTCCTCATTAATAATTGCTGCGTTATCCATATGCATGCATTTCGTAAAGAAGTCCCAGCTTCCCCCTCCCCTGCTTTCTTTCCCCCTCCAGCAGCTTTGATGCGTTATTAATGCTCGCAGCACAAACCAGCCACTGCCCTTGGTGTGCTGGCAGCTGAGGGAGCCCTGAGCTCAGTGGTGGAGCAGGGGAGGAGTGGGGCAAGGCAGCCAGACCTCAGCTCCGTCCTGCCCTGCATCACCCTGCTGCATGTCAGCAGTTCTGTCCGAGCAGCACCTCGCTCCAGCACCCCTGCATGAGGAGATGCTGCAGCCAGCTTGACTCTTGGCACACGGCTTGGATTCTGGGCCCCTCCATCTCTGTTCTCCTCCTGGCACTGGTGTAGCTGTGGCTGTTGATCATTTGGGAGTTTTGCACATTTGGGACATTCCACCTGCACGTTTGGAGGGGAGGATGCTGAGAGGCTCCTTTGTGCACGCTGAATGCAATGCTGAATGCACGGGAGAGGTGAGCAGAGAATCCCCTGCACCCAGGGCAGTTAACCTGCACGAGGCCCTGTTCCACACAGAGCCCCAATCCCACATTTCAGAGGTGCTAATTGCTGCTAATTAGCTACAACTTGTTCTCTAACCTCTGGAGCAGCCTGTTCGTAGCCAAGATGTCTGTCAGCAGTGACACGCATTATTCATCCCGATGCCATAAATCAACCTGTAGTTGCTCCTGCTATTTAGTCACAGCGTTTCGTTAGGTAGGTGCGTGTTCATGCGTCGCCCTCAGAGCCTCCAATGGACCCCAGCACAGCACGCAGTGACCTGCACTGCAGCGAGCAGCGCGGGGTCAGAGCTTTATGCACACAGAGCTGCTCCCCAGAGCTGGGGGGTTTGCCATCTCCAAGGAGGTAACGGGAGCAGCTCCTGCGTGTCCACGCATCGCCGTGTGCTCCGTGCCTCCCTCTCCCATTGCTCCATAAATAAATTCCCCCAGTCCGTCCCGGCACACTGTATCAATCTTGTTTAATAGACTGGAAAGCTTATTGCGTGGCGGCAGGTCGCGAGGAGTGTCGAGGTGATGGATTGCGCCTTCCCGCAGCCGAGCGTCGTTGATGTATAATGAAATATTGATGATTTATTCCAGCTAATAAACCGGAGTGAAGTGTGTGATGTATGCGAGCAGATGGGGGATCTATCGACGCGCTTTGCATTGTGCAGGGGGAGGGAAAGGTGTGCGTGTCCGCAACGCGTGCGCGTATCACGCAGCCCCGTCCCTCGGGGTGGGCACTTTGCTGGGGGGGCTGGGTTAATTCCCACAGGAGTCCTTCAGCGCTCACCTGCTGATTGCCTGTCCGCCCCCCTCTCCTCCCACGGCTGCTCTCAAGCAGCGGGATGAGATCCCTGAGCATTGCAAGCTGGGGCTGTGCTGGGAGCTCGCGCCGGGAGGGATGGATGGGCTGCAGGGGTGGCATTGCCATAGAATCATAAAGCCGTGGAATGGCGGGGGAGGAAGGGGCCTTGAAGGTCGTGGAGCTGTGGGATGGTTGGGTTGGACGGACCTTCCAGATCATAGAGTCACAGGACGGACCCTCCAAGGTCCTCAAAGATCATGGAGCTGTGGAACGGGTTCTCCATTGGCTGTGCTCTGTAAATCTGACTTCAGTGCCTGGGTTTTCCCAGCTCAGCCCTGGCTCTGCATCCCAACCCAGTCCCTGCTCTGCTGGGCTCACCTGAAGGGCTTCCTTTTGTGCATTTCTTCTGTCTCAGAGCTCCTCCAGCATTTCATTTCTCCAGCCAAAGCATTCTCTCGGTCAGCAGTTTGCCCAAAAGTTTGCTGATGGCACCTTTGATGTTGTAGCACTGCAGTGTTTGCCAGCAATGCGCTGACCATTGTGCAGGGCTGTTAGCATTTGTTCTGCAGCGCTGCTCCATGCAGTCTTCTGTTCAGCCTAGGGCTGCTGCTGGGAGACCTCTCTGCTTTGCAAACCAAAGGCCACGAGGGCTCTTCCACCTTTGCAACAAGCGCTTTGCAACTTGAAACATTGCAGAAATCTCTGGGCCTTGCATTTGGAAATAGTGTTTCCATTGCAGTAGGGTTTCCAAAGCGTGTGTGTGACTGTAGCAGTCACATCCAAGGAACTCTCTGTAATCAGCTTTTCCCTTATAAACAGAAGCACTTTCACCCCCAAAACCAAAGACGAAGCTTGTACGGTTGCTCGCCTTCCTTCAGTGCCCACTGGGCTGAGCACTGCGAGGTGGAGGTGTTCCATGGAGCTTCTCCATGTGGGCAGCACTTGGAGATGCCCGGCCCCATCCTGGGGCTCAGCACTGTGCCCCCGTGCCTCGCCAAGCCCCCTGCCCCCAGCTCAGCTTCCTCAACACACAGCAAAGCACATCGCCAGCACCTTGCAGACCAGATGCCCACTGAGCGTCTTGAAACAAATCCAAAGGCAGTGCTGATGGCTTCTGTCAGGGAAACAATAATCCCACGGCCTCGCAGCATCAGCTGCGCCCCGGCGCTGTGCCGCGTGCCTGAAGCTGCTGCTGCCTGCTGGCTTTGTTCCACGGGAGGAGCGAGGTGTGGGGTCACAGGATGCAGATTCACCAACCCGTTTCTCCATCCCCGTGTGGCTGTAATCGATGGCTGTGCCCCGAGGAGCTCACAGCGCCGCACAGAGAGGTGGCAGGGAGCAGCTGTGCCACAGCCAGAGCTGCTGGTGCAGGAACAGGGTGACATCCGTGTGCACCTCCTGCTCCTGTGCTGGGAATGCATGGGCAGCAGAGCACGGCTCTGGAGCTGGTGTCATCACACGGTGCTCCAAACCTCAACTGTCACCTCTGCCGTCTCCCGGGAGAAGGCACAGGGATGCTGGGAGCTGCCTTGGGCAGCAGGGAGACACAAAAGCAGAGATGTGCCACGAGGGTGAGGACGGGGGGCAGCACTGAGAGCCCCCCCCCAGCCCGTGCTGCCATCTGAAGGCACAGCCCCCTCCTCCTCACCCACCGCTTGGCGGAGGCGCTATTAGCAGGATGTGAGTAATCATCTTAAGTAGCTATCAAAGCGCAACAGCTTGTTAAGCATTTAGCCGGGCTGCGCTGCCGTGACCCCTCCTCAATCTTCCCGCAGCCCCCTCCCCCGTGCCAGCAGGAATTACCAGCACACACCCGCCCCCCCCAGGGCCCACCCCGGGGGGGGGATGGAGCCTCCAGTGGGGCACTCATCTTCCTAACTTTGCCCCCCCCCATCTGATTGCTCACTGCCGGTAGCCCGGCACCCGCCAGAAGGCTGGCACCCATCCGTGGGATCCCCGGGGAAGCTGTGTGGGATGGCGTGGGGGGCCCTCAGGGATCCCGCTTTGTGTTCCAGGGGACACGGCAGCCTACCACGACGGTGTTTACTGGATCAAGGGCCGCACCTCGGTGGACATCATCAAGAACGGGGGCTTCAAAATCAGCGCTCTGGAGGTGGAGCGGCAGCTGCTCGCACACCCGCACATCACAGGTAGGCAAGTGTGGGGCCACGGGGCGGCGCTGGGGCCGGTGCCTGCATTCCGCAGCCCGGCCCCGGGCTCAGAGCAGCTCCATCAGCCTTTGGAATGAGCCCCCAGCCCGTCAGCCCGCATGCTTTGCTCTGTCTGCAGACGTGGCCGTCATCGGACCCCCAGACATGGTGTGGGGGCAGCGGGTCAGCGCCGTGGTGCAGCTGCGCAGGGGGGAGATGCTGTCGGTGAAGGAGCTGAAGGAGTGGGCCAGGTGAGGGCTGCAGCACCCCGCACTCACTGCTTCCAGGCAGCAGCACTGATGAGCTGCCGGCGTGGCTGTAGCCACCAGGGTTGGGGCATTCACAGCGGGGGCCAAACAAAGAGCCCAAACCCTCGCTGTGCCGCTGGGGCTTTGCCAGGTCCCCCCTGTGCCACCTGGTGTCCCATTGGTGCTGAGGAGGGGATGGCTGTGGGCACTGCTCTCCCTCGCCCTGTCTCTCCACATTATTTCTCACGTCACTTCCATCTGCTCGGCCCTTCTCTCGCTCCCTGGCAGGAGACACATGTCCCTCTTCAGCGTGATTCATTCTGTGGCTCTCATGACACATATGGCAGCGGGGCCACGCCGACGGGCACACTTGGCACCTCGTGTCACCATCAGTGCCAGCACCCTACTGAGTGGCTGGGCACGGCACCAGCTGGTGACACACAGCACAGAAGGCAGAGCTTCCCTACTGTGTCCTGCAAAGGGCACGGGGACATCGTGCCACACCGCTGCCGTGCACAGCAGGACAGCTGTCAGCATCCTTGGGGACACGCAGTGGGGGCACACATAGAAGCAGCCCCCAGAGGTGGGCATCTCAGTAGTGAGGGGCTTCGGCTGGGCTCTAACAGCGTGTGCTCACACTGCAGGGACACCATGGCCCCCTACGCCATCCCCACTGAGCTGATCGTGGTGGAGGAGATCCCACGCAACCAGATGGGGAAAGTCAACAAGAAGGAGCTCCTGCAGCGCTTCTACCCGGCGTAGTGCGCAGCCTGGGAGCCCCATCCTCTGCCCCGAGGGCTCCCCGCTCCTCAGCATGGAGCAAAGCCCCCAAAAACGAGATGGGTGAACACACAGCAACCGCAAGGGAAGGTAATGGTGGCACGGAGCACTGTGCCCAGCTCACCCCAGCACAGGAGGGCTCCCAGCCCCGCTCCTGCTCGGCCCCGCTCCGATCCTTTGTGTTACGCCATCAGCGACGCAGTAAATTTTGTAACTCACCAAATAGATCAATATCAAATTATCATGTCTCACATTCATAACTCTTAAGCAAGCAACAATGGGGAGAGACAAGGTCACCGGAGAATAAATCGCAGCGAGGGCTCTTCACGATCCATCATTCCCGACAAGCCCGGCACCCAGCGCCGGCGCCGTGACAAGATCATTAATAAAACTCCACGGGAGCGCGATCGATGGCTCTGATGGATGATCACAGGTAGCAAATAGTGCAGAACACCTGGTTGTCACCCTGCAGTGAGGGGCTCACACGGCCCGGGGGTGTCCTCGTGTCCCCTACGGACGGGGTTGGCGATGTGAGGTCACGCCGCCTCCGTGCCCACTGAGCGAGGCAGAGTTTGGTGCGTGGAGCTGAGCGCCAGTGTGGGGATGCGTGTCCCAAAGCCAGGTGCTCTGCTCCCCCCGCATTGGGGGGGTGGGGCTGCATGCAACCCCCCCCCCCCTCCATTCCCCCCTGAGTCTCTCAGCACTTCACTTGCCAGCCACGTCTGCGTGGATGCTTCCATCATGTGTGCACAACCGTTCCATTACGTGTGGTGGCCACGGGCTGTGAAGCCATCCGTCTCCTTCACGGGGGGCTGTGTGGGGTGGCAGCAGGAGGGTGGGTGGGTGAGAGCAGACGGACGGATGGGGACGGGCCAGTGAGTGCCACCGTGTCCCCTCGGCCACCCCCAGCCCTGCTACCTCCAGGCTTCAGTGGATGGGAGCAGGGCAGCCTTCGTCCCACGTCCCCTCTCGCATGTCCCCAACCCATGTCCTATGTCTCATGTCCTTCTTCCATGTGCCATGTCTCGCCTCCTCTGTCCTATGTCCTATGTTCTTTGCACTGTCTCCTGTCCCCTGCCTCCGTGCCCCATTTCCTAACCTCCATCCCACAGAGCTTTGCAGTAGGTGCCCTGTGCTGTGGGAAGAGGGGGGACAGGGGAAGGGGGGTTTGAGTGTGGTTAAGGCACTCCCAAAAGGGAGAATTCCAGACGGGGATGCGGAACTGCCACTCCATGTCACCAAAACGCTGCACCTTCACCTGCCAGGGACAAAGGACAGGGGACACGGCCCCTCCCCAACCCTGGGGAGGGGGCATCGGCTGCAGCCCGTCCCCCCTCGGGCCGCTCCTGCTGCTCCCGCTGTGCTTCCCCCCGGGTGCGGGGACAGCGGTGGCCGGAGCGATGCTGCCACCTGGTGCCACCACCTCGCCGAGCTGTGGGGATGAGATGGGATGGGATGGGATGGGGATGGGGATGGGGATGGGGATGGGGATGGGGATGGGGATGGGGATGGGATGGGATGGGATGGGATGGGATGGGACGGGACAGGACGGGGTTGGGGGTCACGAGGGCAAGGACAATGTTGTTGGAGATGGGATGAGTTGATGAGAAAAAGAATATGATTGGGATGTCTGTGGGGATGGAGGTTCAATAGGGTTAGGAATGAGGATGATGGGGATGATGAGGATGGGACGTGGGTGATAGCAGGGATTGGGCTGTTGGGGATGAGGTGGGATCGATGGAGGCAGGACTGATGGGGACGAGGCTCATGGGATGGGGCTGAGAGGGGACGGAGTTGATGGGGATGGGGCTGATAGTGATGGAATTGACGGGGGCGAGATGGGGCTGATAATGTCAGTAGGGCTTTTGGAAATGGGATGGGATGGGATGGGATGGGATGGGATGGGATTGGATGGGATGGGATGGGATGGGATGGGATGGGATGGGATGGGATGGGATGGGATGGGATGGGGGTGAGGATAGGATGATGATGGGGATGGGACCGATGCTGTCAGGGCCGGGAAGGCCGCACCGCCCCCCTCCCACCCGCCCTGGCCCCCCGCCCAGCGCCCGCCGTCAGCACAGATGGCCCCGCACCTGTCCCGGCAACGCGGCCGCGGGGCGGGCGGGGCCGTTCCGGGAGGCGGAGGCGGGGGGAGGCCGGGCCCGGTGCAGAGCGAGGGGAGCAGAGGCGCTCTGCCCGCCCGCCCCGTCGCGGCATCCCCGGGGCGCACCCGGCGACAGCTGCCGCATTCCCCTCCCGAGCGCGGGGGGGATCCCGTACCCCACACCCCTCCCGTCGCCCCCCGCATCTCGGGACCCCCTCCCAAAGGCCGGCCCCGACCTCCCCGCTCCCCCCGCAGCCGTCCGCCACGTCGGGCCCCGCGGTGCGGGCGGGAGGAGAGGGGGGGGGGGAGCCGGGGCAGCTGCCGGCCGGCCGGGGGGGCCCGGCCCCTTCAGCACATGTGCTGTCACTCAGCCGTCCCCGCCGTTATTGTCGCTCCGGGCCGGGGCTGCGCCATGGGGCCCCCGCTGCTGCTCGCCTGCCTGCTCGCCCCGCTCTGCGCCAGGGTAAGGGATGGGGCCGGGGGGTGGGGGGCAGCGAGGTGGTGCTGGGAGAGCGGTGGGGTTGGGGGGCGCGGAGCCCTGGCCCCCATCGATGCACTTTCCGGGGGGTGGAGGGGATGGGGTTTGGGAGCAGCGTGGTGTTTCTCACTCTGTATGTCAGAGAACAGTGAGATGGAGCTTGGGGGGGGCTTGAAATCACCTCACTGCCCTCATTACCCCCCCCGTCAGCGGTGCTGCCGGCCCCCCCACACCCCGCTGCCTGTGTAGAGCTCCTCAGTATGGCTTCAGCCCTGAGTACTGTGAGGCCACTGGGGCTCTGGTCTGGGCCTTGTAGCCCTGGGGGGGGCTGTCACACGGTGACTGTCCCCCACTGCACTGCCACCCCCTCCCCACCTGTCCTCAGCTCCCACAAAGGGGGCTGTGGGTCAGCCCCATCTCAGCCTCACTGCTGAGTTCTGCAGACCCCACAGCGCAGCTCTGCACCCCACTGTAACCACCCTGCAGCCCCCTGTAGCCCCCATGCCTCCCTACCCCCCCAGCCCTGTGTTCCTGACCCATGCAAACGCGTAACTCTTCTTCTTCCCCAACGTTCTCCCCCTGCAGGATGCCAGCGCAGCCCTGGGCAGCCCCCCTGGCTGGCGGCACCATGAGGGGTCCCGGCGGGTAAAGAGGGCCTGGGTGATCCCCCCCATCAGCATCTCCGAGAACCACAAACGCATCCCACACCTCCTGGTGCAGGTAGGCAGGGCCAGGGGGGATGGAAAGACCCCCATGGCATGGGGGAGGACAGCCCCCAGCCCCATCGCCGCTCCTCCCCGCACAGATAAAGTCAGACAAGCAGCAGCCCGGGGGGGTGATCTACAGCATCAAGGGGCCGGGGGTGGATGAGGAGCCCCTGGGCATCTTCTCCATCGACAAGTTCAGTGGCAAAGTGTTCCTCAACGCCACGCTGGACCGCGAGCAGAACGACCGGTTCCGGGTAAGGACGCTGCGCAGCCCCGTGCCCCCCCTGCCCTCAGCTGCATCCCCAACCCCGGGGCTCTGTGTGCCCACAGCTGAAGGCCTTCGCGCTGGACCTGGGGGGCACAACGCTGGAGGACCCCACGGACCTGGAGATCATCGTGGTGGACCAGAACGACAACCGGCCGCTGTTCCGCCACGACGTCTTCACCGGGCGCGTGGTGGAGGGGGCTGCGCCAGGTGGGTCTGAGCTGGGGGGGTGTCGATGGGTTGGGGGGCGCAACCCTGCCCCATAAGTGGTCCCCCAGCCCCGTGGTGATGGCAGGGACCTGCGTGCTGACGGTGGAGGCCACTGATGCCGACGACCCCGAGACGGACAACGCGGCGCTGCGGTTCTCCATCCTGGAGCAGGGCCATGGGGAAATGTTCAGCATCAACGCCTCCAGTGGGGAGATCTGCACCGCGAAGGACGGCCTGGACCGTGAGGTGTGTGTGTGGGGGGGGGGGATTCCACAGCCATGTGTGGGGCCAGATGTGGTGTGGGGGGGCTCCACGGACTGTGGGCTCAGTGCCATCCCCTTCCTCGCAGGCCGTGGGGGTGTACAACCTGACCCTCCAGGCAGCTGACATGTCCGGGGATGGGCTGACCACCACCGCCACCGCCGTCATCTACCTGGAGGACATCAACGACAACGCTCCCGAGTTCACCAAGGAGGAGGTGGGCAGAGCTGGGCTGGGTGTGGGGCCGCAGCCCCCCGCTTGGTGCCGACTCCTCTCCCTGTCCCCCAGTTCTCCATGGAGGTGGAGGAGCAGGCGGTGGGTGTGGAGGTGGGCCGAGTGCTGGTGCACGATAAGGACCTGGCCGGATCTGCCAACTGGGCGGCCAAGTTCACCATCCTGGAGGGCGACCCCGAGGGGGCGTTTGCCATCCGCACCGACCCCCACACCAACGACGGCGTGCTGTCCGTGGCCAAGGTGTGCAGCAGGGCGGCAGGCTTTGGGGACGCGGGCAGGCACGGCGCAGCCGCTGATCCCACACCCCCCCCTCTCACCCCGTGCAGCCGCTGGACCACGAGGTGCGGGACCGCTTCCAGCTGACGGTGTCGGTGCAGAACCAGCGGCCGCTGGAGGCGGGGGTCGCGAGCAGCCCGCGGGCGGTGGCCACGGTGCGGGTGCGGGTGCGGGACGTCAACGAGGCGCCCGTCTTCCGCGAGAACCCGCGGCGCGTCAGCGTGCTGGAAGGGACCCCCCCGGGCACCGCCGTCACCACCTACACCGCCAGCGACCCCGACACGCGCCGCCTGCAGACCCTGACGTGAGCGTGCGGGGGGGGGGGGGGGGGGGGGGGGGGAAACGCGCGGCGTCTTCGGGTGCGCACGTGGAGGGGGCGCAACGTAACGCCGGCGTTCCTCGCCCCGGCGCCGACAGCTACGCGCTGTTGTACGACCCTGCGGGATGGCTGCAGCTCGACCCGCGCTCCGGCACCGTGCGGACCCAGCGGGAGCTGCGGGACCCGTCCGCCTTCCTGCAGGGCGGTTGGTACATCGCGCTGCTGCTCGCCCGCGATGACGGTGACAGTCCCTTCGCCCTCCCCACCCCCCACCCCCCCCCCCGCGCGGTGGGGGGGGGGCGCGGGGCGGGGGGGGGGGGGGGGGGGGGGCCCGCCCACCCGCCTGTTTGGGCCACGGCCACGCTGTCCATTGAGATCGTGGAGGTGAACGCCCACGCTCCGCAGCTGCAGCCGCCGTCGGGGGCGGTGTGCGGGCGGCCGGGCCGGGGGGGGACCCTTCTGCTGGGGGCCAACGACCGGGACCGGCCCCCCCACGGAGCGCCCTTCCACTTCCAGCTCAGCCCCCAGCACCCGCAGCTCGCCCGCAACTGGAGCGTCACCCGCTTCAACGGTGAGGGAGTGGGGGAAGGGGGTCGGGGGGCCGCCATGCTGGGCTGATCTCGCTGACCCCGTGCCCCTCCATCCCCCCGCAGTGACGCACGCGGTGCTGGCCGTGCTGGCAGAGTTGCCCGCCGGGCCCTACTCGCTGCCGCTGCTACTGCGGGACTCCGGCACCCCCCCCCGGGAGCAGCAGCAGCTGCTCAACGTCTCCGTGTGTCCCTGCGGCCGCGACGGGCTCTGCGATGACGGGGTCCTGGCGGCCGCCACAGCCGGTGTCGGGGTCGCCCTGGAGGCTCTCGTGATCATCGTCGGCAGCGCCGTCCTCCTTCTCAGTGAGTGGCACCGCAGAGCCCCCCCCCACCCCCCCACCGCCCCATCCCACCGCAACCCCAGCCCCACTTTTGCACCCGCACGGCCCCCACGTCACTCCAACCCCTTATCTCCATCCCTGCCACCCAACCCCTCACCTGCATCCCGCTTCACTCGCGCCTCCACCCGACCCCCCCACCCTCTATCCCGCAGTGTTGGTTCTGCTGGGGGCCGCGCAGGTCCGGAGCCGCCGCCGGGCGCAGCGGCGGGGTTTGCTGCAGCGCTGGGGGGACGACGTACGGGACAACGTGCTCAACTACGACGAGCAGGGAGGCGGCGAGGAGGACCAGGTGGGGGCACCGGGCCGGGGGTCGGTGGGGGGGGGGGGGGGGGGGGTGGTCTCATCGCCCCCTTTCCGTCCCCGCAGGACGCCTACGATCTGACCCAGCTGCGGCACCCCCCGCCCCACGGCCGCCCCCCACTCCGCAGAGACGCCCCCCTGCGCTCCGCCACCCCCCCCGGCTCCTCCCGGCGCCCGCCCCGCGGCCCCTCCGACATCGAGGATTTCATCAACGAGGTGGGACGCGGCGCTGCCCCCCCCCTCCCGTGCCCGCCCCGTATCCCATGGGGCTGATGATGCCCCCCGGATCCCGCAGGGCTTGGAGGCGGCTGACAGCGATCCCAGCGTTCCCCCCTACGACACCGCGCTCATTTACGACTACGAGGGCTCGGGCTCGGCGGGCAGCGCGCTCAGCTCCATCGTCTCCAGCCTGACGGACGGGGATCAGGACTACGATTACCTGCGGGAGTGGGGGCCGCGCTTCCGCCGCCTGGCCGACCTCTACGGGCCGTGATGGAGCCCCGACCCCGTCTGGCAGCCGGGCAACGCGGTGGCTCTGAGCGCAGCGGGTGCCGCTGCCGGGCTCCGCACTGGGGAGGGTCTCCCCTCCATCCCCAATAAAGCTCCCACCCCCGGCTGTACCCCCCCGTGTACAAACAAAGGCACTTTTATTGGCAGCACGTCAGCACCCGCTGCATTCCTCTCTCCCCCCCTACCAACCCCCTCACCTGGGCATCACCCCCGCCCCAGGACTCCCAGCAGCGCTCCTCCCGAGGCAGGATCCGGCCCAGCGATGTGGGGGCCGGGGGGCACGCAGCTCTTTCGCAGCCCCAGGGCCACACGGGGATGGGGGGCTCGGAGAAGCGGGGGGGCTCAGAGCTGCGCTTGGCCACTGGGGGAGGGGTCTCTGCGTGCAGCCATCGCTGGGTTTGCCTCCTCCCCGCCTCGCGGCCAAGTAGCATTGGGAAGCCCCCTGGGGGCCGTGGCTACGTCTGGGTAGGGGGACTCGCAGGGCCGCGGCCCGATCCCAGCGCCCTTTGGGCAGAGGGGACGATGCGGGAATAGTCGTGGGGGATGCCGCGGGGGGCGAGCAGGGGGAGGTGGTCCTCGCGGGGGGGACGGCGGAAGAGGGGGGGCCGGCGCTGGTTCTCGCCCTCCTGCAGGGAATGGGGCAGGCGGCGGCCCTGGCTCTCGGGCAGCAGCATGATGCTGAGCACCGCCAGGATGGCGAAGGAGGCGAACACCAGGTGGTGCAGGAAGAACCCGCGGCTGCTGGCGACGGCGGCGATGGGGGCGGCCGCGGAGCCCACCAGGTTGGCCCCCACAACCAGGCCCAGCCCCGCGCCTCTGCGGGAGAAGAATGAGCTGAGAGTTGGGGCGTGGGGGGGGGGGGGGGCCCTCGGGGCGCCGCCGGGAGGGGGGGGTTGCGAACCGCTCACCTGACCACGGTGGGCAGCACCTCGCTGGCGAAGAAGATGCTGAGCATGGTGACGGCGTGCGAGGCGGTGACCCCCAGCACGGAAAGCATCAGCACGATGAGCTCCAGGAGGTCTGGGGGGGGGAGTGAGGGGGAGGGGAGCCGTGAGGGTGCAAACCTCGGCTCCCACAACCCACCCCCCCCACCACCGGCTCCTTACACTGTGTGAGCGCCAGCAGCAGCAGCGAGGCGGTGCCGGTCAGCACAGTGCACAGCAGCAGCACAGCGCGACGCCCGCAGCGCTCCGCGGTGACGCAGAGGAAAAGGCACGCGGCCGCTTCGGGGCCCCGCAGCGCGAAGTACGCGGGCAGGAAACGCGGGAGGTGCGGGGCCAGATTGCGGGTGAAGCAGTGCCGGATGCCGGAGCCGATGAACCTGCGGGGTGGGGATGGGGGGTGTGATGGGAAGGGTTGGGGACGGGGGTTTTGGAGAAGCCCGGTGCCCCTGCGCTCACGCGGTGAAGCCGAGGATGACGGCGTTCTTCCAGATGACCCTGGTGCCGAAGATCTCGCACACGCTGTGGTAGTGGGGCTGCGGGCACTGCTCTGCCAGCGCCTCCAGCTCTGCGTGGCACAGAGCTCAGAGCCGGCACGACACGTCGGGATGGGGAAGGGGGTCCCAACCACCCCCTCCGCCACGCACCCGCCATGGTGCTGCTCCGCTCCTCGGCCCCGCATCCGCCGCTCCCCGCCAGCGCCCGCAGCGTCTTCCTGGCCCGTTCCAGCTGCTGCGTGGCCAACAGCCAGCGCGGGGACTCGAGCAGCAGCGCCGGGCACCTGCGGGGCAGAGAGGGGGAGGCCCGCGGGGTGAGAAAGAGACTGTGAGAAAGGCACTGACCCCCCCGCTGCCACCGCCACCCCGTTCCTGGAAACCCTCAGCTCGAGATCTGAGCAAACGTTTACCCACGGCGCACGAGAGCCCCGCAGCCTTTGATGCCGAAGTGCGCAGGCAGCGGGCACCACCCGGCCCCGCTCCCCCCGTGCTCACCACCAACACGCTGCCAGCAGCGCCAGCACGGCCGTCACGGCGCCCTGCAGCACCCGCCAGTCCCGGCACAGCACCGCCAGCCCCGGCAGCAGCAGTTCTCCCGCCAGCCAGGAGAAGCCGGCGATCATCGTCACCTCCAGCCGGTGCGGGGGGTCACACAGCTCCAGCCCTGGCGTGAGACGTGGGGACAAATGGTGCAGGATGGGGGTCGTGGCCATGGGGGCGTCTGCACCCTGCGCGTCCCCGATTCCCACAGCATCCCACGGCATCCTGCACTCCACAGCACGCCACTTGCTGGAGCATCCTGCGCCCTGCAGGATCCCTCATCCCGCAGCCTCCCGCATCCCTCGTTATCCAGCACACCACTTGCTGGATCCCGCAGCAGCCCCCGCCACACAGCAGCCCGCACCCCACTCACGTGCCACGTAGAGGGATAGGAAGGCTCCGGCCAGCGCAGCCCCAAAGAGCAGCCGTGCCACCAGCACCATGACAAAGTCGATGGCCAACGCCACGCTGAGCCCCAGTGGCACCGCCAGCCCCACGGACACCAGGAAGGTGGGACGGCGGCCAAACCTGGGGGGGTGAAGGGGGGTGAGCTGGCTTGAGGGTCCTATGGGGGGATGCCCCACCAGCCCCCCGCCCCGCTACCTGTCGCAGGCCATGCCTGCAGCGATGCTGCCCAGCGCCCAGCCCAGCAGGTGCGTGGTTTGCTCCAGGGGCACCTTCCAACGTGCGGCACACACCAGGTCCCACTATGGGGGGAGGGGGAGTCCACAGTCTGGGGGGCTTCTGGGCACCCTCCATCCCATCCAAGGAGTGCCAGACCTCGGGAACGCCCTCCAGACCTTCTGAGGTCCCTTGGACGCCCACCCCGGACCCCAGGCCTCCCCAGAACTCCCAGCCCAGGATCCCTCAGGTACCCACAAACTGCAGGGGTTCCACCAGACTCTCCCAAGCCCCCCAGGCCCCAGGACTCTGCAGATCCCACTCACATCCAGAACCCCTCAGCTCCTCCCTAACTTAGGGAACCCCCCCAGACCCTTCCAACCCCTCCCCAATCCCAGCCCCTCCCCCCGCATCCTCCTGATCCCCTCAGAACTCAGGACCCCCTATGACCCCTCCACTTCCTTCTGAGCTCCCAAGGACCCTGGCTTCCCCTCTGTTCCAAACCCCCCAGGCCTCCCGTACGCCATTCACCCCCACCCCGAGACTCTTCCAATCCCTCAGCTTCCCCCAAATCCCATAGACCCTAAGGGCCCTAACCCCCAGAACGCAGGAACACCCCCCTGCCAGAACCCTCTCAATTCCCTCTCTGGCTTCAGCCCCGCACCCCAGATCCTCCCAAACCCCCCCAAAACTCAAGCAACCCTACAACCCTCCGCCACCCCCGACCTCCTCCAGGTACAAACCTATCCCAGACCCCCCAGATTCTTCCACATCTCCCCACGCTCGGATCCCCTCCATCCCCAAAACTTACACCTTTACACCCTCTTAACCCCCTCCCCAACCCCAGAGCTCCCCCAGATCCTCCCGAACCCACATCAAACTCAGCGGCCCCGATAAACCCAAACCCGGGCACATTCCCAAATCCCCTCAACCCTCCCCTTCCTCCGGCTTCCCCGCAGACCTCCGTGACCAGATTGGAACGCAGCCCGGCGGCGGGCATCGCGTAGTGCCACCCGCGGGTGCACGGCCCGGTGCCGTTGGGCGGAGCGGCGGTTCCGCGGTACCGGTACAGCTGGCACGGGCTCCATCCGGAGCGCAGTCGCGGCACGGCGGCGCGGAGCAGAGCGGGCCCCGCCAGGCGGCGCAGCGGCGGCGGCAGCAGCGCGGGGTCGGGGCGGCAGCGGTGCGGAGGTTCGACTCCCAGCGCCCAGCCCAGCGCCCAGCCCAGGGCCAAAGCCGCGCACGGAGCCCACCCCCCTGCCGCCCTCCGGCCCCGCGGCCGCCCGCCGCTGCCGCCGCCCCCACCCCCAGGTCCCGGTCCCGACGCCGCCGCCATCCGTTCGGCCCCGCAGGTGAGGGCGGGGACCGCCCGCTGTGCCCACCCCTGGGCCGGGCTCTGCTCCATCGCCCGCCCCCGAAGGACAGAAGTTCGGTTCGGGGCGTTTGGAGCCGCGCGATGTCTCGGGGTGGGGGGGCAGAAAAACAGCGAAGGGGGAACGGTGAAGCGGGGAGCAAAGTAGGGAGGGGGAAAGGGGAGAAAAGGGAAAGTTCTGTATCCGCGCTGGGGCGCTGAGCTCCGCGATGCCCACAACTCCGGGATCGGGGGCTGAACAGTGGGAGGGGGGCGAAGCAGCAGCAAGGCCGCCGCGGGGCTCAGGACGTGAATAACAAGGAGAGGAGCGCTGACTGAGAGCCGCATCCGGGACCGGCAGGCGCACGTCGTGCCGGGGGGGCACAGCAAGGGGCTCCGTGGGGCTCAGCTGCTCCCCTGGCAGCGCTGCCGGACCGCAGAGATGAAGGTAATTTTAATTAATTTATTTATTTCTTTACACATAACTGAAAGTGATGTTACAGTACATAAGTTATTTACAACTGTGCAGTAATGTGTTGCAAAATAAATTATCTAGAAGGCAGCAAAAGTACATTGTTAATGTATATAAAAACTGTACAGCATTTATGGGATACAATTTTTCTTTATATGAGTATTGGCTCTGTAGTGTTTTTCAAGTTATGTTCTCAGAAAGAGAAACGAAATGCCCAAGATTAAAGGAAAAAAAATATATATATATATATATAAACCACATGGATTTGACTCCATTAAAAACACAGTTGGCAAAGTCCTTTCTCTGCGTTCCCGCTGCCCATCGCCGGGCTCTGCTGTGCTCTGCTGGGCTCTGCTGGGCTCCGCTGGGCTCCGTGCCCGCGCCGCAGTGCTGCCCGTGGGCACCGCTGTCCTTTGTCCCCGGTTGGGTCTCCGCGTGTTCTTTCGACTCAGTCTTTTTTGGAGACACCCCCGGGATGGAAGAGAAAATCGCCCCCTGCCCCCCCGTGGTCTCCTCTCCGTGCGCAGAGCGCCGCCCTGTGCCAGGCAGCAGCTCCTGCAGCTCCGCCCGCTGCTGCCGCCCGCCGCCGGGCACGGAGGGGCCGCGCCGTCAGTCCGGCACCGAGGGCCGCGCTGTGAAGAAAGTGCAATGTTGTGTTTCGTTTCCGATCGGTTTGTTGTTTGTCTGTTTTGCTGTATTTCTGCCGATAGCTGCTTCCTCCTCCTCTGACCAAGGGATTCATCAGCAAGCGGGAAGGGTGAATGTGAGCGCGACCGCCCGACCTCGGAGGGCTCCGTCCGTGCCAGTGTTCAGTGACGTCTCCCGGTGCAGAACTGTCATGCCGGCAACAGCACAAAGTCATCGTTCACGTCGACCATCGGCACGTAGAAGGAGGGCACCTCGTTGACGCAGAGGGATTTGTGCCCCGCGGGGTCCAACTCCTGCACCTTCAGCTGCCACTCCATCCTCTGCACCGCGTTCAGCGCGGCGGCCTCGTGCTGCTGCCGCATCAGCAGGCACGTCTGCAGGAAAAGGGGAAGGAGGGGTGGTGAGGGCCGGGGGGGGGGCGCTGCACCCCTTGGGAAGGACAGGGCTGCTCCTGTGGAGCCCCCACCACAGAACGGATCCCTCCCGCGCTCCTCCTGCTGTTAGGAGCGCCCGGCCTGTGCCTGGAGGCGACGCAGAGCTCAGGATGCTCTCTGTCACCACGAGCCAACAGCAGCTCAGGGGAGCCTGCAGGGGCAGGGCTACAGCCTGGAGCAGTGATTGAGCAGCCGGTGGGAAGGCAGGGCCAGTCCAGGGGAGCTCAGGTGCAAGCAATGAACCTGAGTGATGGAAGGGCTGGAGCCAGGATCTTCCCGCTCCCAGACCTGATTTAAGGGCTGGCAGTGGAGGTGAGGGCATCTCTTACTGTCTATCTGAGGCCTTCCAAAGGTAAGCAGCTATTTTCTTTCATTTTTGCCTCTGTAGCTGCTGTATTTAGGCTTATTCTCATTTGCTGCAGACAAAAGCTGTACCACCCTGCTATTATCTTCCTATTACAGAGCCTCACAGGGTTGGAAGGGACCTCAAGGATCACGAATCTCCAACCCTCTGCAGCCGGGGAGGTGCAGTAGCTTCCAAAGCCATGAGCACTCAGAGCTCTGAACCCATGGTGTCAGTAACAGGGCTGACAGGGTGCTGCTGCAGAGCTGCCACCTCTCTGTCACCAATGGACCAACATCTCCCCCAGGTCTGCCTGCCCAGGGCCCTGCAGAGCACTCTTAACCCTGCCCAATTCCCAGTTTGCTGCAGCCAGCCAAGAGCAACCGTGGGGGTGAGTAGAACAGGAGGCTTAGGCTGACAACGCAGCAGCAGCCAGACAGGCAGCCCCAAGCAGAACGTGTCCCCATCCCCTGGTTCTGGCCCAGCAACCCACACGCCTCGCTGCAGAGCTTCTGGAAGCCACAGGAATGCAGCTCCCCAAGCTGTGCCCCATGGTGCTGAGCAGTGGATCTGTGCCTGGCGCTGCACCCACAGCCTCACCTTCATCCGGTCGTACTTGTCGTCCACGTCTTGCAGCCAGGAAATGAACTGCCGTGCATTGAAGCGGTCCCTGACCGACTTGTTTTCGTCTCCCTGAGCAAAAAGGAATGACGTGGGAGATGGGTTATTTGCTTTCAGCACTCCAAGGTCCAACAGGCCGTGCTCAGACCCCTCTTACAGCACTCGCTCGCAGCGGTCAGAGCAGGGGGATGTGGGAGCACAGCCTGACAGGCAGACACTGCCTGCTGTGTGGTGGGTGCAGGAGATACATCAGAGCTCCCAAACCCGGCCCAATTCCCTCTGAGCAGAGGAAGGGATTCCACATCCTTTATGCTGGAAGCAGCCCAGTGCTTTCCAAGCCAGCGTTCAGATTACTTTAACGGTTCTCTCCCTGTAACTCAACCCAGATAAACCCATTTGCTTGGGGTCTTGCACAGCTCCCCAGGGACAGCCCTGTGCCGGCAGGCAGGCACTACTGACCTGATTTTCTAGAGGCATGTTGTAGACCTCGGAGTCCAGCAGCATGGTGCAGGCACTGAAGGGCACAGCCTGGTTGGCAATAGTCCGTGCTGCCCGACAGTGCACCCTCAAGATCTCCTGCTCACAGGAGACAATGAGCTTCTCCTGGGAGAGAGCAAACACAGCAGTGAGTGCAGCAACCTCAGTTTCCCTCAGCAAAGGGAATTCAGGGCTCTGTCCCCAGCAAGAGCTGCTGGCGCTGCCTTACCCGCTCGATGCTGTGCTGGAGCCGCAGCTTCCCCCGCACGGCCTCCTGCTGCTTGAACAGCTCCTTCAGGGGCTCTGCCAGCGATGGTGGTGGGGCGATCTGTGGGGCACAATGGGGCAGTTAGGAAATGCTGCTTTGGTCAGGCAGCAGCACAGGCTGCCCAGGGAGCTGCAGGAGTCACCACCCCGGAGGAGCCAAGAACTGCAGGGCTGTGGCACTTGGGCCCTGAACTGCTGCAGGAAGGAGCAGGCAGGTGTGGGCTCAGCTACGCCCATGGCAGTGCTGGCAGGCGAAGGGGGTGCGAGCTCATCAGACCGGAACTGACGCATGGGCTGCGTCCTATGGGCAGCAGAAATAGCCAGAGTACCTGACCCTGTCTGCAGCAGGGAGGGAGGCAGTTGCACTGACCTCCTCCTGCAGGATCCTGCAGTTACTGCCTGCAGCGCCAAGCACCTGCAGAGCACGTTTGTGCAGAGCAGCTGAGGCAGATCCTGCGTGCTGTCAGCAGGTGAAACAGCAGCGCTCAGTGGACAAAGGCAGCAGCTATCCTGCACTCTCCGAGGTTCATTACTGCATTGCCTTTAAAAGCCATCTTGCCTTCTGGCCTCAAATCCTGTGCATTCACACCACCCTTCTCTAAAACCTGAACAAATCTCAGGCTCTTAAGCACAGCCTAAGGTCTCTGCAAAAGCACATCTCAGGGGATGCATTAACCACACAGCCCCCTGCTCCTCAAGGCTTCGCTCTGTCACTGTGAGAACTGCCTACAAGTACAGGAAAGGCACTGCTGGGCACCATGCTCTGGGTGTACTGGGGGACAACGTGGCCGTGTTGGCAGACAGGACAGAGCCTCAGCGCTGCGTTTTAACACCGCAGGCAAAGAGAGGGGACTCACCACGGGGATGTGGAGCTTGCTCAGAGGTTTGCCGTCCAGCAGGTAGGAGCCCGTGTAGGTGACGTACTCGGCGTAGCACTGCGGAGCCTGGGGAGTGATGTAGCAGAGGATTTTCCGCTTCTCTTCGATCTTTTTCCTGATCTGGAGGTACTCGAAGTAGGGGTTGGATCTGTCGCTGTGGTACGGTTCGATGTCGTCCAGTTTGATGGCGTCGACGATAGCTGCCAGGGTCTGCTGGATCATCTCACGGGTCTGCTGGGTGGACGTGTTGATCTGCTGCTGCAGCTGCTGGTTGGAGCGCTGGAAGCGGCGCTTCCGTGGGTGCTGCGCCTGGGAATCGTCCTCCTCGGTCACTCGGCCCTTGGTGCGGGTGGTGGGCGCGGGGACGGCAGGAAATTCCTTCTCGGCAGCCGCGGCGTTCTGCTTGTTTTGGTTGGCGAGCATCTGCGCCCGGTTCCTGGTAATCCGCTGAGGAATCTCTTCTATTTTGGGGGGTTTGGGAGCTTCTGCTACTGGTTTCTGCACTGGCT